GAGGCACATGTCAGTAATGCATCCCATTGCCCTGCTGTCCATCTGATGGATGCAACGCTGGGCCCGTACCAAAGCTAAGAGCTTATACAGAATAACTAAGTCAGTTTATTTTAGAACAGCTTGAAAGCACCATTTGGTTACATCCCAGCCCTCTGAACAGAACATTTCTTATAATGCAGAAATGTGCTTTCTCCCTGAAAGTAGTTCTGATGCCAGTCAGCATTTCCAGACCAGCCATTTATAGCAGGCATCTTACTGACGGATTATTTGTAACACAGGCTCTTTGGACTGTGATCATAAAAAAGTAGTTTTTTATCAGTAAAAAAAAAAAAAAAAGCATGAATTCCAGCACTGATTCATCGCAGCTGAGCTTAAAGGCTCACTCTTCAAAAATCTTTATAACAATTGTGGAGACAAATGGAAAGTCAATTAAGTCTCAGCTTACAAATCCCAGGGGATGCCCTTCCCTACCTGCCTGCAGCTCAGACAAGCCTCTGCAGCCCAGGTACTAAGATCTCAACACTCCACTTTGTGCTGCAAGAGTTCAGAAGAACAATAAACGCCTTCTACCGACAAAGGGACTTCACCCAAGAGCACTACTGTCCTCAGTGTCATGAAGCTACGGTCACATGCTCAGGAAAGTAATTCCTCACTGTTTTAAAATTGACTAGAGAAAAAAAAAAATCTGTGTAGTTCAGGTTTAGAGAGTTCCTAGTTTGATGTTTAACACAATGTTTTATTCCTCTTGTCATTTAGGTACTTGTCATATACAGACCAGATACCGTATCACTGAAGTCTAAAGTTTCATTACTGTCTTCATTCACAGCAGATTTGAGGCCCTGCTAATTCCTTTAATGAGATTTAAATACAGCTACTAGAATGAGGATGCATTTTTGTCTGAAAAGAGTAATTATATAACTTTGTTTCCACAAGGTTTGAAAAAGGTATCTAGAACTATTTGTAGGGAATACATATTTATATTAGTATCAATGGAGATCACAGGGCTGGGATTATTATTTACTTCTCTTAAATCCACCAAGAAGCACATCAACTTAGAAACCTGGGGGGTATGTGTGTCAATCTGTCACCTTTAAGTAAAGGCCAAGACAAAATTATTTATCTTTACACTTTAAAGATTTCAGCATAGGATTTTCACCCTTGAGTTTCAACAAACTGAGCTACACTTGACAAAATATTCCAGCATTTTTCCTCTTGGAAGTAGCAATAACAGGCTGCCCACCTGGCTGACAGCTGCACCGGGCAGTATTTGGCAGCGTGCAGCTCTCAAATAGGATAGCAGAACAGTCGCTGACATCAAATTTGAAAAGCAAAAATTTTCTTCCCCATCTATGACCATTATCCTCATTCCTCCACCCTTTCCAAATGATCCAAGCCTCTACCAACACATCCTCCCACAACCCACAAGACAACAAATGGACATGCTTTCTCAATTTACATATAATAGCACCACGGCATTTTCATTCCTGGGGTATAAGCAATGAGAGAGATGTCTCAGACCCCAACAGCAAGGAATGCATGTACTAAATAGGTACTAGAAAGACATGAAGAATTCAGTGCTGAGTTTTCAGCTAATGCTGGAATAAAATAACCACCAAATGACATCAGACATCTGGAAGTTGTCTGTAGTGACAAACTCTTTTCAGAATTAGACAAAATCAAATAAGAAAAAAAATGAAATTAAAAAAAGCTCTAGAGACAAGAGATTTTGCATTACTCAGAATAAAGTAATTTCATCCCCACAGACTAATTTCAAGTCATGTTTTGCAACCATCTATTGAAAAGGCCATGTGGCTGCACTGTGGGTTCCAATGTTCCAAAAAATCTCACAGCTTTAAGGTACACTACACTGGATCCTGAAACGCATTTTTGATTCACACTGAAAATCCTTTCATGGGCTAGTTTCAAGGGGTAATTTTGGAAAGCTCTTCACTGAAGTATGAAGGCAAAAGGTCATTTATACAAGGGATTTTAAACATTTCACTATGAACATAAAACTTTGGGTAGTTTTTGAGAGTGGATCAGATGTTAGTTAGCACACTGAAGTCAATTCAAGGAAATAGCAACTGCAAATCATGGTGACTGATACCATTTCAAAGCCAAGCTTCCTTTGATGCAGAGGAGAACATTTTTCCTGAGGGAGTAAGGGGACAATTAGAAACATAAAATGTCAAAGCCCTACACCAACGACCGAAGCGACATTCAAAAGTACTGGGAAGCTCTGTGTGCAGGAATCAAACAGAACAACTCCATCCCCATTTCAGCACTTGAAATGTCAATTCAAAATTCCCAAGTAAAGTCTACAGCAACATGCAGAACCCCTCAGACACAGCAATGAGCCCCTGGACTGGGAAACAGGAAGAGCAAGAGTTAGGCCTAAAAATGCGAGGGCAAACTTGGCATTTCTGAAGTGCCAAGTGCCTTTCTCTGAGAAAGGAGAACTGCACTGGAGTACACGTGCAGTTCAAAGAACAACACTAGATCAAAGCTACTCAAGTCATGATCTTTAAAATAAATAACAAATATAGCCAGACAAACATAGTCAGGATGAACTGTGGAAGGCTGAGAGTTGGAGCAGCTACACTTAACTTGCTCCACTCCATGAGGGGCTCGTGTTCTTGAACTTGGCTGGAAGCAAGAGGCGGCTCCCAGTGCCTGTAGAAGCATTCACTGTCCCGCAGAGGGATGCTGCTTCTGCCTGTGCTTCCTCCTGCTTCTGTTGATCTAAACACAAAGCCGTGGAAGACCCACTGTTCCATTTCAGTGTCAAAAACATTATACTGAAGAATTAAGAATTCAGTAGATAGTACTTGGAAAGAACTTTTTAGACAGCATTTAAAGAAAATAAAATCTATAAAGCTCCTTTGTGAACATGAGAACAGAAAAACAATGGAGTATTTTAATCAACATTTTTGCACATTTAACATTTCTCTAAAATGCCAACATTTTAAAATAAGAATCACATCTCTGTCTGGGTTTACTGCACCAGAAGTGTGGCTAAAGCTCAGTGATTCAACGCATAGAAGAAACTGCCACAAAAGGGAAGAGGACTGTGAATATTCAATATTGTCTAAACCGAAAATTCTTTGTCCCAACACACTATACTCAAGTGTATATTTAAGTGAGAATAAAATGTGGCAAAGTTAAAACAATAGATTCGAGTGAAGATCTATTCAGGAGATTATCTGCTTTTCCTCCTGACACATCTTAAACTGACACACCAGGAAGTCGACTCCTTCCAAGCTCACATAAAGGGTAAAAAAAAAATCTGAGTTCTTTGAAGTCGGGTATTTTCTGCTTTCAAACAAACATGGTTTTACAACAAATCCTTCTAGGTTAGAGCAGATTCCACAAAGCTTTAAATTTCTGAGTGAGCTTCTGAACTGTCATGCTGGTTATTACTAGTAGGCACAGAAATTCCCATTTTAATTAGAAACTTTATTTTGAAATAGATTACACAGTTTACATGTGAATTGCTTTCAATATAAGATATTTCATAACATTGTGTTGAGCAAAATGGCTGACCAGTTTCCTTGAAGCTCTTCCAGTTATGGTTTTTTCTTTTTCATTAAAACTATGTTACAGAATCAAGATGCAACTTAGGCATCTGTATTCAGAAGCTAATTACTATGTTTACCTTAGGGAGAAAGTTAACTCTTCTAATTAACTATGTGTTTCAATGATGTTAAGCATTTGGCATAAGACTGAAAGAAACTCGACCCCCAATTAAACTTGAATTCACCAAAGACATTTAAAAAAAATTCTTCCTGATCAAACTACTTTGTTAATAAGGCACAGTCAGACAAATATTTATAAAGACTGTCTACTAATTCAGTTTTACCTGTACAGCCTTCTTGCTGGTCTGTCAAAAGTAATCTCAAAGTTGTTTTCCCTGTCTGCTGCTGAGACGTTTCAAGAACAAGGTAGAGCAATAAGGCAACTAAAAGAACCAGCATGCAAAGGAGTTTGGCATTTGGGATGAATTCTGAACATTTTCAAAGTAGTTCATTTTATAAATGGAGCATTCACCTGCTATTATTAAAATGGTGGCCAACTCTGACAAGAAAAAAAGAAGTGGTACAAGCAGAGGGTATGAAAATAGGAATAAACAGGATGTCTGGTATGCTTTCAGCTAAGACCTCACAGGCAGCAATTCCCACAACTTTCAGAGATAATCTAAATTGAATTTTGAAATTCCCCTCTGCCACTCAGAAAAGTTGAATGGACTAGGTTTCTTGACAGCAGGTGAAATATCAGGGAATGAAATCTCCATTTAGATAATGAGCCAATACTGCATCCTACTTTGCATTTCTTATTAGAACAAAAGGAAGTCTTCAGGAATGACAAACAAAATAATTATATCATTTTTTTGGCTGGAAGAAAGTTCAAGAACCTTTAAGATGTGATAATGTTTAAAAAAAATGAAACTATTTCTATCCACAGTCAAAGAATGAAAAATAAAAATGAAAGATAAAAAGAGAAGTCTGACTTTCCCCTCCCAAATAATCTTTGCAGAATAATTGCTTAAGCTTAGCACTGTATGGCTTCTGTGGCCTCTGAATGCCAGACAGATACTCTAAGAATTATCATTTTCAAGCTACTGTTTGTTTTCAATTTTAAGTAATTTCAAACAAAAATACTGCATTATTTCACTTCAGTAATCAAACTTAGCATAAAAATCATTAAAAGAATTTCTGATACAAATTTGTATCACGTACTAAAAGATATTACTACAGAGATAATTGTGAAAAAAATTAAGACCATACAAAAAGTTTTCCAAATTCTTTTGTTGAACTCATAGTGCAGGTTTAAGATAAAAAAAAAAATCTGTAAATGAAGTAGTCAAGAAATGTTGAATACAAAATACATTCTAAAGTATTTTACAGAATGGCTGAATTATCAAGCACAAGAACTGAGGATAAAGAATGTTAATGACAAGCAGCCACATACAGAACACAAAGCAATAAGTTTAAATCAGACTATTTTGGTTTGTGTAGCCCTTTATTAGCAACTAAAATAGAAGATATCTGTTGTACATCACGGGTAGTAACTGACTATATTGGAGTTTTATTATATTCTAATACAGGATAATTTATAAATGCGTTGTTTTCCTTTTTTTTTTTCTTTTATTAAAAAGCTTCCACCCCCTTTTTCCGTTTACAACTTGCAAAACTATTCTGAAAGCAGAGTATATGTGCACAGGTCTGCAGAGAGTGCAAATTTAGGATATGGTAAATGCTTTATATGTTGTATTTGTAAGGACAGTCTACCACCATGCCTTCACAGCCATTATCTCTTCCCCAAAAAACAAAAAAAGAAAAAAAAAGGCAAATAAAAAAAAAAAAGCACAAAAAGTTCTTATACCAGCCTTCCTTCCATTGTCCTAAACAAGAAAGCATTTTTAAATGAGTTGAAACTAAGGAAGGACTACACCTACTAGAAAAGAACAGAGTTCTATTAGTTTGAGGTTTCAGTATACCCAAAGACCAGGGACTGTATCTTTGTAAGGGCTAGGCTGGGACCCCGTATACAGAGTGTGTGCAGGTGCCATCCCTGAGCATTCAGTGGTTCAGTGGACCATAAGTGCTCCAGCTGCATAACTCACTGAGCTGTCTTGCCAGTTCCGACACTGGCTTGACTGAGCGTAATTCAAAAATGAAAAGCTCATATTCATTCCATTCTTCTGGAGCTCGTTGATAGCCTAAAGAGAGGGGGGAAAATAAAAATGGGCCATTAAAAAATGGTATCAGCGAAATTACAACATTTTTTAGTTCTCAGTCCTTTCCCCCTGTTTTGGAGGTCCCCATAAGCTCATAATATAAGCACCTCCCCACAATTTGTGGACCTAACATTTGTGTGCGTTTTCATTCACTGACGCTCCCTCCACTGCATTATATACATTCATGCAGTTCTTTGAACCAATACTAAACAACCTTTCATAATAAGTCCCTCAGAAACAATGCTTTCAGTTCCATGGGGAGTTGATACAGACACAGAGATGTAATAGAGAAAACCCCAACACTATTAACACTTTTTAGATTGTATTTCTTCCATTAATGAAAAATAATGTACAAGGATAATTTATTAAAGCGTGACAATTGGCAAAAGTGAATAAACAGAATTTAGCTCTGATTCACTGCAAAACTAATCATTATCTGAAGGTAAGAGTTAGGTATATTTGCAGAGTTGTCACAGTACTGAATTTTGCATCCTCAGTATTGATACTGCTCTTACAAGCTTCACTTCAAGAGGTTCCTCTGTATGTTCTCCATACAGACTACATTGCCAGTGAATTTTAAAAAAAATAAACATGCTTCCTGTTTCAGATTTGATTTAGAGTAAAAATAAGTGAGATTCAATCAGCAATACGACAAATCTGCAGCACTCCAGCAGTGCTGTAAAGTAGCTGTGGACCAAATTTAGACAACTAAGTTAAGCCAGGTTTATGTCTGCACTGCATCACCAAAGCAGAATACAGTAAATAGAAAGTACCAGTTAATCTGAATTCTAATTGCTGTTAATTTATGAGTTAATGGTGCACTGCACTAATACTTACAGAGGCAATCTCTCACCATATTTACAAAAGTCAAAAATGTTGCCAGACATCACAAGGCACTCACAATAGCTAGCTAACAGCAATACAGAAAAAATATATGCGTGTTTGTAAGTACTGGTTTGAAGAGTAAGTATGTACTTTTTCAGGGAGGTGGATTTATTTGTTCATTTTTTTAAGGCCAAGAGAAAGTGAATGATTGCATTTCATTGAAATTCAAAAGCAGTGTGGTGTACCTCATCTCCCCTAGGGAACTGAAAACTCTCAGCCCTTTTAAGAGCTTACATCTGTCTATATGCAAGACATGGAAATTGGAGACCAAATTGAGAACATTTGGAAAAATAAATTAATTCAAGGCTTGTCATTTTAGAACTAAGGAATGCTGCAGCAATACTGTGTTTTAAACAAATGTAAGCATTTTTCTGAAAGTTACATTCTTCAACAAATCAAAAGTTACTTACATTTAATAACACTCCAATAGGATGTCTTCCACATATTGTATTATGGTATTTCTTCAAGTAATTGCTAAAAGATACAGGATCTAGCTGCTCTATAATGCTCATACCCTGAAAAAGAATCGTTAGCAATAATTACATAACACATTCATAAGCAGATGTTTATATATCACCTATTTATTACAACAGAACAGTTCAGGAGGAAAAACCCTTTACTTTGTACAGAAGATATCAGGGAAACCTCAGCCTGTGAGCTCTAGCTTGCAGTCATCTTGTTTCCATCCCTTGCCAAAATAAGAGTGCAGGAGCTCTTCCAAAGCTGTCCATGATCCACAGATCTGTGAAGCTATCTTTGCAGATACCAGTGAAGCTCATGCTAAAAGAGCTCATTCCGCAGACTAGCTGATCCCCACTCTCCAAGGGTATCCTACTTCCATAGGATTTGGTACAGCTACAACCAGACAAATTTACTAAAAGGGCAAAGCAGGAAGAAGTCATGCCTTCATCTCCTCTCCCTGGTAACAGAGTAAGCTCAGGGCCAACCACTTGCCTGGGACTCCTGTGGGTCCAAAAACCCTGGATAAACTATCAATAAGCACACATGCAATTCACACACAGAGCAAATGTAATGTATCCTAGACACGTCAGGCATGCAAGGCAATTGTTCTGGGCATGGGCTGGCCATCTGCTCAGAACATAAAAAAGCAGATCCAGAACATCTCTAAAGTACTATGAAGTTGTTGCACCACAAAAATGTAAGAGCCAGGAGATGATGCTTCCACTTTACATGAGACAGTCACATATATACATCCTTTTCTCCATCCACAGCAAGACCCATGATCCCATGGAGTCACACTAAGAATATCAGCACACGTGTGGAAAACAAAACCTTCCACATACACAAACATTTGCATTCTTAAAAGCAAAAAGAATCCTATGACTCCAGATACAGCCTACTCTTATGCCATCCCACAGAGCAGATCAAACATAATGAAAGTAGTTTAAAGCAAGTCTGAATCAATTATTGTTTGGGTTACATCATGGCTTTGCTATTTTGCCTGTATTAGACTCCATCCTCTTACTTTTTTCCTTCCTCTGAAAATGATGAATTCCCTTCACCAGGTAAATGAGCTCTAGCACTCAGTAATTCAGTAAGACACATAGTTGTGCTGCTTCTGCTGGTAAAACAGGAAGGTTTTCCTTAGAGACTTTGCATGGGAAACATACACTTTGCATGGGAACAATGGGAGGTTGATATCAGAAAGGGAGTTAATTTCACCTAAGATTTCTGCAATTTTCCCAGCCCCTGTCCCTACTTTTGGGAAAATGTGGGTGATAAAACAAGAAACCACAGTACAGGAAGCAGTCAGTCTGAAGTCTCTACCTCAAGAGCAAAACCTCCCAAACGCTCTGCAAGGGCGTTGGCTGATCTGGCAGATACACTAATTATTTAGACTGGATCACAGCTTACAATGGAGGAGCTGGAGATTCCCAGGAGAGTCAGGGAGAATTTCAAAACAGCAACCATAACCACCACCTTTGTGTACTTTTAAACAGAAACAGATGTAAGATGAATTCATAGAGAAATAAATTTTATGGAAAAACAAAACCAAATTATGCTGACCAATTGTTGGCAAGAGCTCATGGAGAGTGTTTGGATCCCTGGCTGGTAATTACAGCAGATAATCACTCCAGATCTACAGAACATGAGTGCCAAAAAAATAACAGTAGGTATTCGCTAACTAGCAGAGATCACACAGATACCATTACATTTCTAGAATTTACAAAGCAAGTCTTTGAACTACCCGTTTACTTGTAAATCATACGTGTCAACACATACGTTCTGCTAAAGAAAGCAGAACCAAACCTGACTACATACTCAAGTGAAACTAAACATGCATAAGGTGCTTACTTGGATACTGAACAGTTCATGAGAATAAATTTTATCTCTTCGTAAATCCTTTCACAACCTTTTCAAAAAATGAAAATGGCTGCTCAATTGAGAGACTTGTTTTATACTTGCAAGTCACTGGAACATACTGGGCAGAGGCATTTGAGCATTTGTCTCAAATGAATGGACATGGGTTTATAAGAATGCCTAGTAAGCCTATTTCAATGCACTGTTCAGCACTGCAAAACATTTAGAGCTATGCAGTTCATCCCAGAAAATGCTAACAGAGTTCCATACATTACAGACTGGAGAAAATCCATAGGAAATGGGTATTAACAAATATCCTATAAGCAGTCAGTTGTACTGAACTTTTCAATCTTTTGGATTTAAAAATTGTTGTGGCAGAGAAGCAAACACTACCAAGTTCATTTCTCAGCCTAAAATGGTGTTGAGGAACAAAGGAAACATTTTTTGTCAGGTTGTGTTTTATTTTTCTAAAAAGCAGAATTATGAAGCTACTAATTTTTAGTATTTGTAACAACTCAGCCAGGCATGGCTTAGAACAGAGTTAAAACACATGACAAAACCCACATGATAAAAATGCAAACACAGTTCTGCAGTTTATCACACGGTTATTATGGCATCACATAGCAATTGCATACCTCAGTTACCCAGACACTGTTAATAGCATCTACAATATCATAGCACAGTGCACTTAATATGATTAAAACCAGTTACATTTCTAAATATCATCCCTTAACAGGATCAAGCATCTACAAGCTTACAAAAATTACAAAAAAACCCAAAACACCCAAACCAACACACAAAACCTCCACCAACCTATAGGTTTATTTCACACTATACTCCACTAATCCTCTGGTTGGTTAAATTAAAGCTTGTTATAAGTCGCTTCAGCTGCTTCTTCACACTTAAAAATATAAACCAGTAGCCCCCTAATGGAAGTAGAAACAAACTTGGTCTTAATACCATCCAGTTCAACTATCTTTGCATGTGTAGTCACTCAGACTGGAAGATAAACAACCAACAGGAAAATTACTGGCTGGGCACAGCAGAAACAGCAGGGATCTGGGAACCCAGGCAGAGAGTCATTGTCTTGCATTATGCTCAGGTTAAGAAGCCTTCCCAGGCTGAAGCACTGTGGAAGGTCCTGGCATACTGCAGCAGCACTGCAGAAGCCACCGGAATTCAGCAGTTCGTTAGAGCTACCTAAGAATCCACCAGTGCAGAGCATGGCTCCTGCACAACCACTGCTGGCTGTTCCTGCATAGCTCTCCTCAGTGACTGCATTGTCAGCATTCAGGGTAACAGAATCCTCCCATTGACTCACGTGAGGCATAACATTTCCCATATAAATAATATGGTCATATAAAAAGAGCAATCTGGCAGTGAAGATTGAAGAGAGCCATCTGCATTTTCTGGGTAGTCATAATCAAGCATAATTACTCTTCAACAACATCTTACAAAATACTCCCCCCCTGCCTTTTATTTAAAAAGATGGTAGTTAGCAGGTTATGCTGTACAAACTATTGTACACGAGCTGCTCAATAATAACTCTTCGTTTGAGGATTCTTCCCTAAGGTACCCCCCTATTAACCATGAAGCTTATTTACTTCTTTTACTGTCACTTCACAGAGTGCATTGTGGTGACAGTGCTCATATCAACAATTACCATGGAGAAACTGATGTCTGCCTAGTAATATTTACTACTCTGTATTTTTTCATGCTGGAGTCTAATGGCTCTAACTTAGAATCACAGCAAATAAAATTTCTCACCATGGTTACCAGCTTAGTAAAACTTCAATACCCAAAGTGTTCAGCAGTTTTTATGCACTAGGTGGAAAAATCATTATGCATCTATATGCAAGGTTCAGTCCAAATAAGGAAGAGACCACTATCCTTCCACAAGGGCATTTCCAAGGCAAATTGATTTCATCTTAACCCAGAATGCCTTCCTGCTTACAAAGTGCTCAGCCTACTGCTTTCCTAGCTAGGTCCAATAAAATTAAGCCAATTTTAGTACTATAAAAATACTTTTTCAAACAGTAGACATGATTTTCCATATCACAAAAAATGTAATTTCCTTTTGGTTGAATAACTACCAAAAGAAAGAGTTGGTGCAGCAATGCCTTTCCTAAAAGTAATTAAATGCCAAAGTCCAGTCTTGAAGCTTCAACCACAGAAGTTAACAAAGGGAAACTAATGTTTGCTAATGCACTGTAATCTGCTCTCCTGCAAAAACATTCAGACCTGCAAACTCTGGGATTCTGTAGAAAACCACTTGTATTGATAGAGAAAGCCCTCAACTGACTACAAGAATTGTTAAAAATGAGATAAACAGAATGAAGGCAAGTTATTTACTGTTCCTATTCCAGTGATGAGTAGTGGAAAAACAAAGATTAATATGGATACACAGAGAAAAAAACTTAAGAGATCCCTCCAGCAGATAGGATTTATTCCTTCAAGACAAGGAAAAAATTAATATGCCAGAAACAACAACAGTTCTCTCTTCTATCAGATTCTACAGAAATTACATAAATGATGCAAGCAGTTCTAAAACAAATTTTAAGATTATGCATTTCCAAAAGAATTACTTTTATTCGGTGCCTTAAGTATAGTCTTGAACATTAACCTTTTTTTAATTTAAAAATAAATCCTTGGCTCCTGTGATTGCAAAGGAAACACAACATAATTGGCATCATAACCTTTATGTATTTAGCATTCCTCTCAGCCTTTCACCAAACACAGAATGAAGTATGGTCTACTTCTCTTTCCCACCATGTACTACAGAGCAAGGGCCAAGGGGAACACTACTACCAAGTATGGTGGTGACTCATTTTCCCAATCAGCGCAATCCCCTACAGCCTTTCCTCCTCAAAATGGATGTTGTTGAAACCATTAGCACAATCACAATGCTGTTTCCATACGCAGGTATCACAGCTATCAAACCTGAACTGCCACAGTACTCCATGCATGATTCTTACTGACTCTCAAAAACATAAGAAGGTATGCGGACAGGAATTACGCGACACTAGGGCATTTTAGGTAGGTGAACATGCATTTATTCTCATAAATTACTCTTATTAGATTATACCCACAATATCATTGTGTGCAGTCAGTAAAATGGAGGATACTAACTAAAAACGTCAGCTAAGTTCTTATTGTGCTAAACAAAGGAAAATGATACATTCAATAGAATAGCTAATCTATAATATTTTGTTAGAGAAATTTCTAAAGTGTTCAAAGAAATGTAATGTACAGGAGAAATTTGTTAGTTAGTTCCACCAAATCTGAAAACTTACCATTTTATCTAGGTGCTCAATGGATCTATAAATTTCTCCTTGGGATTCATCATAGTAACTGTAACGGAACCTCTGACCTTGAAACAAAAATCATGTATAAAATAAAAAAGGGAAAAATTGTAGCTAAAACACTCCCTAGTACTCACTAAATATTTGAAAGTATAATATTTGTAAACTAGTAATCTTCATTTATTTTATACGTTTTAGCTCCACTGAGAAAATTCTAGGGCTATCATCAAGCAGCAGCCCAGAAACAAAGTAAAAAAAAAATACAGGATGGATAGCTATATTCCTAAAGAGAAACCTACTACGTAGAACTGACACTGAAGTATCATTCATTAATTGCCTGTTATTGCCTTGGAATCCAATTCTATAAATTAAAAAGTAAAGCAACATTTCATTTCTCTATCCTTCTTGGCCAAGTCAGCTATGGAGTCAGGCTACTTCTGCTTGCACAACAGTACCCACAGTAAATGAAGGTTAAAAGAAAAAATTTATGATAATTCAATGAACAGTTCTAGATGGTTCATTAGCCACAACAGAACCCAGGTCATGATATATACTTCCACCTACTCCACAATTCAAAGATGAGTAAAATATGCACTTAATTATGTAAGTTGACCAAAGATGACAAGGAAAAAAAGAAAGAAGGTCTGTTGTGTAACACATCTTTCTGAAGCAGTTCCTTTTCCAGCTACTACCACACTTAAAAGAAAAATAAAGTGTTAAAGGAGGACAGAAGTCAAGGCTTCTGGAGTCTTTTTAGCTCTGCCACCAAGATGAACTGGGATAGCTCTGGTGAGCTGGCATAAATACTCCATCTGCTACCTTACCCAGCAGTAAAACATACAAAACTTATTTCCGTCAGAGGAATGTGGCCATGTCCAGTGAATTTTTAGCTAATTAGTTTTGCAAGTTGTTTGAGGTGCTTAGAAGAAGAATAAAAAGAGCAAGCAACTTCAGACAATTATTACATTGCAACGGGAAGGAGATTCATATAAACCCACACACCTTCACCATTTATTTCCCCCACTATACTGAAAACACATTATCACATCAATTTTTTTCACCTATCGTTCCAGATTTTAAAAAAATCCTTTTATTAACCTTACGAAGGCATTTAAGTTTCAAAAATACATGTACAAGAAGTTAAAATGTTCAATGTTTAAAAAAAATACATTATTTGAAAATAACTGCAAAAGATTCAACATACCGTTATCATGAAGAGATATGAAACTTACCCCAATGGCAAAAGTCAGAAGAAACCACAAAGAGGTTACTAGGATCAGCTAGGTATTTACTGAAGAGTTTTCCAAATTCCTGCTCTTTTGACTCACTCAGTGCTCCGACCAACACAGGAATAATAGTAAACTCATCCTTATGGCTTATAAGCAAAAGAAAAAAGGTTGTAGTTCAAGTAACATCTGAAGATTTTTCAGGGCTTGCTAACTGAAAGTGCAGAATGTTTAAAAAGGTTGCTATTGATTTGAAGATAGTAATTTGCTAAGATACTAGGATGTTGTTTTAGAACCTCAAAGCACTTAAAACTTCAGAAAACAACACACATCCCCAAATGCAGTATTTAACTTTGCTGCAAAGTGAAAACACCAGGCAAACAAAAAGAAAAGACACAGTGAAATCAGAATTAGATTCAACTTGTATAGATGCTGCATGTTGGGTAATTCTCCAAAGTATATGAAACATATATGAAAATGCTCAGGGTAAGTACCCAGGTGTATACTGATACTCCAGGGAAAATTCAAAATACAATGGAAGAACTAATAAAAATAAAAAGATGTGACCTGTACATGTGGGAACAACCCCCAACACAAATTGACAATTTTTCTCTAATGATGACAATTTTTATTTCATATAGAGATCTGAAACAGCAGGTGTAATCAGAACCCTGATTTCAAAATTAGTATTAAACCTCTGAACAAACTTAAAATCCCACAGAAAACACCTATTGGTATTTGAAAGTCTTGCAAAGATGTCTTGCAAAAAATGGGTGGGGGAAGGGGGGAGGAAATCGGCTATTGAGAAAGAGTTAATATAGACATGCTTTCATGAGTCTATTTTAAGTCAATGTAAACCTGTCTATAAGAGGTGTTATAACTTCATCATTCAGGTGTTTGCTCTGCTCACTGTTTCTATTACAGCAACTTATCCTAGTCTCTGACCCTTTCCTTACCAAAATTTTTACTAGAGTGTGGGGGAGTGTAAGCATTATATACCATATAAGGTACTCTATGCCATAAAATTCATTATTACTTCCTACTGCACTTAATATGTAGTTTACTGCACATAATGCTCATTCTTGTAGAAGTAATTAGCCCGAGTACCTTTCCATGGCTTTAGCAGTATAAGGCAAATGCATTTCAATACTGTGTTCATCTTCATCTGTCTGTAGGGACATACGCTCAAACATTCCAGTCTTCCACAATTCTCCATAAACTGAAACGAATGAAAAGATTAATTTTTACTACTTTATGTTTCTGAAAAATGCTACAAGTGAAAAAGCAAGCTACAGTGCATCTTTATAAGAACACACCCACTAGAACAAACTACTTGCCTCCAAAGGCTGTCATCACAAACCACTTGTTTCTAAATAAATTCAGGATTAAAATGATATTCGAGTAATTAAGATACAAATGTAATTGATTCAGTTTACAAAATAAGTATGTTAAATCAGTGAACTTGTTAGTATATTGAGAAAAATCTTGTATCATAACTGAAAATCCAAGTAATACAAATAAAACATGTTTGAAAATATACATAAATTTGCCCAGTCATTGAATTTTTATTTTCATAAACAGTACCATCACATATTAAAAAAAATTGACCAGTGAAGCCATTGCTGGATGTGTTACTATTTAACACAATTTATTATTGACCAAATCATGAAATCTAGAGACAGCCAAAACTGGTTAAGTAATCCACATTTGCAAGTTATCTTTTCTATTCTCAAGTGTGCTTGAGAGTATTCAGAGTCATTTCTACATTTTGAAAATTATCCACTGCACGAAAAATTTGATGTAGGGCTGTGCCTCCTTCTTTACTCCTTTCATAAAGGAGTTCTAAAAAACCCCAAAAATTTCTTACCTAAGGAAATTTCTGCAGGCACTATGTAGAAAGCCTGAATTATCTTGCTTAATCACAGTTACGATGAAACACAATATATCTGTGCTAATTAGCCCTTCTGAAAAAGATACTGTATTATACAGGTATACCTTGAAATGCATAAAAGTCAAAATATCAAATTTATCTTCATTGCACCTTTAAGTTTACTTCCAAAGACTGGTATTTCATGGACTAATGATTTTTAAGTTCTGCAGGTACTTTGCAAGTTAAAAAGTCACATGCAATAATGCATGTTCCTCTGTTATTCCTCTATCAGAAATCAAACTCGAACCAACTGAAGTACCTTTTTCCAGCCAGAATACTTCACAGAATAATGGAGAAGGTGCTTAGTGAGATATTCTTTCACAGTAACACTTTTTAATTTTTAAAACTCTTTTAAAGATCACTTGTCAAGTGATCACACACTCAAAATGGAAAAGATAAGTAAAGAATTCTCAATTTTTGCTTATCAGGAGCAAGAGAGATATTATGGTTATAACACGACAACGCCTGCCACAGCCAGGATCTTTCAGAAGTTAGCTTTGGTTGCAGTAAAACCTGATTTGCACTTGTGTGCCACTTAAAACAAGGAAGTGCTTGCTCAACAAGCAAGTCCTCAGCACTGTAGTACCACAGTTAATACTCAAGCCTCAGCAGTCTTCAAGATGTAAGCTTTATCATGCACTTACTCTTTTGGTCAATTCGGAGATCATACAGAGGTGTCCTGTAAATATCCACACTGGAAAGTGCACATCGGGAGAGGGGCACGTGATGGGAAGGCCCAAGAATGAAAATTTTTCGGCTACAACAATTAACACAAAAGCCCACAGTTTAGACAAATGGAATTGTAAGAGACCTAGCTTAGAGCAACAAGTTTAATAAAAACATAGAAAGCAATACTTTCTCAAGGCTACAACTGTTTTACTCTGCTGCCTGTAAGACCACAGATCAATCCATGGCTCAACCTTGCTCAGTATCTCAGAAATTATCATGAGATCAGTTCAATAATGCTTCCTGTAGCCTTAAATCTCTTAAGCAGGTTATATATCACAGTGCACTCAACAGCTAGAAATCTGTCTAACTGGATTCATTTGGAGGCTGAATGATGTCATACAGCCCCTCAGAACAGATTTTTTGAATTCTCTTCTTGGATCAACAGAACCTTCAGCTACACATCACTACACACCACCTTCAACAACTATAGGAATGTGACCTCAAACGATTATGGGTTTATCATCTATTCAGAGCTTTTCACTTATTTAGTTGATTAGTCTCAGTTCAGATTACACCAAATTAAAGTAATTCTCAAATGTTGTTTTTATCTATCTGTTGCATCAACAACAGGGACTTGGACCTGCACATTCATAGCTTTAGCTGATACTGCAACCTTTCACACGTCATCATGATGTTATTTCATCAAGTCCTCAGTTCCTGGCTCTTGATTAGATGCTTAGGGTCTCCTGCCACAGGACTTACAAGAAAAAAGAAACAAAAAATATAGGAAATTCAGCTTTTCCGATTCAGGATATCATCTTTTTTCTGGCACTGAACTAAAAGGGTGGGAAACACGTAAAGTTGTGGGGTTGGTTTTTTTCCTTTACACATGGAGTGCTATTAGCACTAAAATACTATAACTTTCTGCAAAGCTAATGAAAAGAAAATATCCAAACATGCAATAATTCAGCTCAAAGATGAATTCTAAACATTCCACGTGGTAAAACAGCAAATGATCCATAAAGTTCAATCGACTCCATGTCACTGAATGTGGGGAATGCAACTTGTTCTGGAAATTTTAGAGGAACTAGGTTTCTCTAAAACTTATGTCTCACCATAAATTATTTTCACATAGTTTACAACAGTTTAGGAAGAATTAAACCCATTGGCTTTGGAGCATATTACAACATGTTATCTCATGAAAAACTGATAAACCTAGCCAGTTTTTATTTAGCATTGCAAAATACATACTTTCAGTAAATACTAGAGGTGCATTAAATTTTTGCCATTAAAAAAAAAAGTGGCAGTAAGCAGAACATAACAAGAATTATATTCCTTTAGCCTAAAATAACTGGATTCATATTTTCAGAGGCAGGCACAGACTACAGTAGCATGCTGGGGGGTTTTTTAATTTTTCTTATTTTAAACTTGTTAGAAACAAAAGTCCACCTAAAATTATTGGAATGAGTAACTGTCACTGACTTAAAATATTATATAAACACATGAGTCACTTTCTCCACAGAAGAAGAGAAACCTGGTAGTATTCAGCCCATAATCCTGCACTGAAAAACCAATGCAGAATCATGGTCAAATATATTAACAGACTTAAAAAACAACCAAAACCTCCCAATGACAACCAAAAAAACCAAATCAACCCAAAAACTCCAAAAAACCCCCCCAAAAACCAGCTTGGGCTTTTATAAAAGCAGTGGAATGTCAGTAATATACTGTTATTACCTGCAAAAAGGACGTCTTTAAGCCCTCCCTTGTTATAACGTTACCAATAATTTCAAGAAATTTTTGAAAACACTGCTTTACATTTTCTATTTCAACAATACTATATTTTTTTATTTTGTAACATCCAATTTGAAAATTTATGATAAAACCGAAGGGACCCATAAAAGTCTAAAAAAATGTACAAAATTAAAACCCAAGTACTTCAAGGTGTAAGAATGTAAAAAGAACATTCAACTTATCAGAGAATTGCAACGACATTGTCTCCTGCTTTGCAAAGAAAAACTCATACTTACGTGATATTAGGATCCACTTGTTTGTAAGCGTGGGCTGCACAAGATCCACAGTACGTGTATCCTGCGTGGCTGCAAATCAAGGTGTACAAAATGTTAACAATGTTAAATATTGCTTAACATCTTAAATATGTTGATATTGCTATTAAATATTAATATCTTGAATATTTTTTGTCCCCAGTAAGCTAGAAATAGTAAGAGTGATCTAAAAGCCAACTCCTGAAAGAGCAGGAGAGCACTGCTGTAGTATTGATCACACAAGTGATATATTTGTTGAAGAACTATCAGTGACCGTTTACTGACTCATTAAAGAATGATCAATGGCCATTTGACAGTAAATAAACGTCCAAAACACAGCCCCTTCCATCACTCTTAAAGGATACTGGTGTGCAGAGTGCACAACTGCACATTATCAGAAGCTCATGATAACACTAAGTGTGCAGTCACGGAACAAGGGAATAGCAAACTGCTGGAGAAGGCTCTTCCAACCACATGGCAGTAACTGAAAACTATGACAGTAGAGGAGTCTGGCAAGGAGAGAACTATATGTTACAGCAGATAAACCAGAGAATAAAAATGCTCTGTCACAGAAGAATACATGAGCAAGAGAGTGAATGGGCACACAGACACAAGTGGAATGCAGTGTGCTAGTTTTTACTGCAACCATGATACATGATTCATCATTTCCTATCACTCTGGTCTGGGGTCTTTCTTGACCTCTGTTCCCGTTTGCTCTCCAAAATTATTTTTAATTATTCTGACTACTTGTTTTAAATATCACATTAAAATCTTAAGACCCATTCCCTTCAAAACTGTTAAAAACCAGTGAAAATTCACTTTACACCACTAAAAGCATTAATTCCAGAGAACATTAATTTCCAAAGTCCAAGGTCAAGTGGCGCAAAAGAGCTCACAGTCACTCAGCAGTATGCCCGTGCCACATCATCCCCTTGAGCTCATCTAGAGCACCTGCAACTCCAGGTCAATAGTTACTGCTTATTTTGAGTTGAGTATGTGCAACAACACAACTACAGCTTTCCCAAGTCTTTTTACACAATGATACTGAGAATGATACATACTGCATGTCCTGGGACATACAGGATGTTTGAAGATACAAGTTCCCTGTTCATAGCACAGGAGGATTTTATATGTATGTATGCTCACCTGCACCTATATTCATCCACAGAGTTAATACATGGAGCAAGTTATCTTCAAAATTACCCTGGGATTTTACTTCAACATGACTTAATCCACTCATTCTAAAGAGCTCAGAAGTGGCAAGGTATGTCACTTGACAATGTCAAAAGAGCCTGCTGAAAGGTTTGCTCTGCTACAGGCTTCTTCTGTCTTCCACAAAAATATTATCAGATATATCCCACTTTACAGGTGGAGAAAAAAAAAAAGGTACGGCTAATGAAAAACTTTGGTGAGATCACAGGATCTAGCAATTCTGGAAAAAGATCCCAGCTTACATAATCTGCAGCTGAAAGGTCTCTTTCCTGACATTCCTGCAAGAAAGATTAAGGCAGATGTGGGACAATGTCTTCTGGAAATTCAATACTATTATGGAATACTTCAAACATTATGTCAATGTGTGCTGGTTTAAAGGTAAACCAGCAGGGGAAATGAACCCAACTCAAAAGACAGATTATAAGTCAGAATAACAATTTATTAAAATAATACAATAAATACGATTATACAGGCAAACAATTGGGTTTAACCCACAAAACCCAAATGTATAACCCAGCACCCTGGGGCATGAACAGAGTGGTGTTCATTGGGGCCCCCTGAGTCCAAAGTAAAAGGAGAGGAAAAACCTGTTGGTGAGAGTGCTGTTGCAGTCTGGTTGAAAAAGTGGTGGTCTCAGTCTAGTTGAGAGTGGTGGTCACCCTCCTTCTCTGGATCCCACAAGTGGTAAAAAAGTCCCAAGACTCCAAGATTATATATATCCTCAGGTTCAGGCAGGAATGCCCAGTACCTCCCTCAGGGCCGGGAGTTCCACAATGGGTGTGAGGACAGGAGCATACTCCTATCCTGCAGGCCTCTTAACACCCAGCTTATAGCCTGAGGAATCAGGCTACTCTGGGCAGGTGGTGTAAATGGTCTATTGACAACAGTTTCTGGGAAATGGCATGGAAGGCTATAGAATACACAGTTTTGGGTTATACCCACACAGTGATGAACTGGTCCCAGCTGTTCTAACTAGGACATTATCCACCCCTTATTCTATGCCATCCATGTCATGCCCAAATTAACACCCTTTAAAAACTATATCCCTTTAAAAACTATATACATATATATATGTATATATACAATGAAACATTACAGACTGTTCTCACTCAAAATTAGGTCCCCTTGTGGTATACAATGTGTCTCCCCATCTTTTTGCATTACCCACCAATTGAATCCAGGCCCTTGAGCGAAAACAATTCCTCGGATGGGTTTGCCTTTGCTTGAGGTGGGACTAATCCAAACAGTCTTTCCTAACATACCTCTCATATGCACCACAGGGACTTTATCTCCATCTACAGTATGTAAAGGTTCTGATTGGGCAGGGCCAGCTCGATTGATGGAGCCTCCAGTGTTGACCAACCAGGTGGCCTTTGCTAAATGCAGCTCCCAGTGTTTGAGAGTCTCCCCACACAGTGCCTTCAGGGTGGTTTTCAGCAGTCCGTTGCACCGCTCAACTTTTCCAGCCGCTGGTGCATGGTAGGGGATATGATACACCCACTCAATGCCGTGCTCTTTGGCCCAGGTGTCTACGAGGCCATTCTTGAAATGGGTCCCATTATCAGACTCAATTCTCTCCGGGGTGCCGTGTCGCCACAGGACTTGTTTTTCGAGGTCGAGGATGGTATTCCGGGCAGTGGCATGAGGCACGGGATATGTCTCCAGCCATCCAGTACTTCCTTCTACCATGGTCAGCACATAGCGCTTGCCTTGGTGGGTTTGGGGGAGCGTGATGTAGTCAACTTGCCAGGCTTCCCCATACCTGTATTTTGACCACCGTCCACCATAGAATTGTATTGTTAGCTGGGGCATCCCAGATTCGGAGCAGACAGGACTCATTCACCTGTTGCGTGAACTCTTTCTGGAGCTCACGTAGAATCATAGAATCAGCTGGGTTGGAAGGGACCTCTGAGATCATCAAGTCCAACCCTTGATCCACTAGCTGCGGTTAACTAGACCATGGCACTAAGTGCCACATCCAGTCTCTTTTTAAAAATCTCCAGAGACGGAGAATCCACCACTTCCCTGGGCAGCCCATTCCAATGTCTGATTACCCTCTCTGTAAAGAGACTCTTTCTAATATCTAACCTAAACCTCCCCTGGCACAACTTGAGACCATGCCCTCTTGTCTTGCTGATACTTGCCTGCGAAAAGAGACCAACCCCCACCTGGCTACAACCTCGTTTCAGGTAGTTGTAGAGAGTGATGAGGTCTCCCCTGAGCCTCCTCTTCTCCAGGCTAAACAAACCCAGCTCCCTCAGCCTCTCCTCATAGGACTTGTGCTTGAGTCCCTTCACCAGCCTAGCTGCCCTCCTCTGGACCTGCTCCAGGACCTCAATATCCTTCCTGAACTGAAGGGCCCAGTAGTGGACACAGTACTCAAGGTGTGGCCTCACCAGCGCTGAGTACAGGGGAAGAATCACTTCCCTGGTCCTGCTGGCCACACTGTTCCTGATACAGGCCAGGATGCCATTGGCCTTCTTGGCCACCTGGGCACACTGTTGGCTCATGTTCAGCTTCTTGTCAATCCAAACTCCCAGGTCCCTCTCTGTCTGGCTGCTCTCCAGCCACTCTGTCCCCAGCCTGTAGTGCTGCAGGGGGTTGTTGTGGCCAAAGCGCAGGACCCGGCACTTGGCCTTGTTGAACCTCATCCCGCTGCAATCAGCCCAACTCTCCAACCTATCCAGGTCCCTCTGCTTACCCAAGGATAGAGACCGAGCGATTATTTCTGGCTCTGTCTCCTCTGGTGGATGTGAAGGTCCTGCCTCTTTGTCATCATTCACTATACAAACTGACTTAGTCTTTGATGTCCTTTTCTGGACAGGGGCGATCGCTATTGCTTTGGGTTGTCCTTCTGGCTCCTCGATGGTTTGTGTGGACACGGTGCCGGTTGATTTATTTCTTTCTCCCTCTGACTCAGTTGTGGTTTGGGTGGATGTGGTGTCTGTGGATTTGCTCCTTCTCTCCTCCCCCTGACAGTGCTGTACCATGTCAAGTAGTGTCCGGTAGGCAGTGGCCAGGGCCCAGCAGGTTGCTGTGAGCTGGCCATCTCTGGAACTCCCAGAGCATTTTCCCTTCACCAGTCTTATCGTGCTAACAGGATCCTGCAGTTGTTCAGGGGTGAATTTCCAGATCATTGGAGGAGAAAACTTCTCCAAATACTGGCCGATGTCCTCCCACTTCCCGTGCCACTCAACATTATCCACTCCCAGGGCAGGTGTCCAAACAACCTCCCTAGAAGGCCCTGTTCTGACCCTAAGCATGGTGTAGACAGTACAGAGCAGACAAAGCAACACTAACAATAACATTATGCTGTCCTTAACACCAACAGGAAACTCAATATTTTCAAAGACTGTTGTAGCAGGTCTGACGGGGAAGAAGGAGGTGAGAGGCTGGAAACAACCATTCCCCCCTGTTCCCCCAAAGGGCTGGGTGCGATTTTTAATGAGGCCCCAGAGGTAGCAACCCAAACCAGGACAGGCAAACAGGACTGAATACATGACACACATTCACAATGAAACTCACTGCTTCTGATGTTATGATGACATAAACATAGTATATTAATAAAGCAATTTTGATCCCTCTCCCTGGTCTCAAAGAGAGCATCAAAATAGGCAAATAGTTCCCCATCTGTGGAAATATGAACAGGTTCAAATACAACATCTATGTGAATACATCAAAGAACATGGTGATCAAGGAGTTTCTGTATCCAAATAGACAAATGCTTAAAATGAAATTCTGATTCTGACTTCTCTCTCTGCCCCACGTTGGGCACCAAAAATGTGCTGGTTTAAAGGTAAACTGGCAGGGGAAATGAACCCAACTCAGAGAGATTATAAGTGAGAATAACAATTTATTAAAATAATACAATAAATACAATTTTACAGGCAAACAATTGGGTTTAACCCACAAAACCCAAATGTATAACCCAGTACCCTGGGGCATGAACAGAGTGGTGTTCATTGAGTCCCCTGAATCCAAAGTAAAAGGAGAGGGAAAACCTGTTGGTGAGAGTGCTGTTGCAGTCTGGTTGAAAAAGTGGTGGTCTCAGTCTCGTTGAGAGTGGTGGTCACCCTCCTTCTCTGGATCCCACAAGTGGTAAAAAAGTCCCAAGACTCCAAGTTTATATATATCCTCAGGTTCAGGCAGGAATGCCCAGTACCTCCCTCAGGGCCGGGAGTTCCACAATGGGTGTGAGGACAGGAGCATACTCCTATCCTGCAGGCCTCTTAACACCCAGCTTATAGCCTGAGGAGTCAGGCTGCTCTGGGCAGGTGGTGTAAGTGGTCTATTGACAACAGTTTCTGGGAAATGGCATGGAAGGCTATAGAATACACAGTTTTGGGTTATACCCACACAGTGATGAACTGGTCCCAGCTGTTCTAACTAGGACACAATGCTATGTTAGCATAGGAAACCCATCATATTTAAGGTGCTTTTTCTAGTGTTTTCTTCCAACTCATAATTAATTGAAGTGACCAACATACTTTTCTCATTACATCTCACCTATCTTCAGGAAACTGAATTCTCCCTAAGTAGTTCAGACAATCCCTATTCCAGCTGTGGACAAAAAAAACCCAACCAAATAAAACCAAACTAAAATAACAAACCAACCATTTTGGATACCTGAATAATGTTTCATTACTTTTTGTTTTAAGCTTTGGTAAGTTTTGATTTGGGGGGCAAGAGGGGTGCAAGAGTTTTGCTTATTTTTTGCGTTGGTTTTTTTTTTTCCTAGTAAGTGTAGCTGTCCTACACTAGAAGTCCATTGAAAGGGCTGTCACCTTTGAATAGCACTTCATTAATACACTTCTTACCCATCTTACTGGATCACAAATGAATAGTGTCTGCAGTCCATCAGTAAAAGGAAATTAGTCATACATCAAAATGTGCACAGATTTCTTCCATTCTATGGCATATTCAAAATGCTTATTAAAAAACTACACAACATTCCTTTCAGCCAAATACTAGTTTTTACCAATTTTGAAAATCAATCAAAACAAATGAACAAAAAAAAGCATTTAACCAATCAAGTGTTAATATATATACTAAAAACAGATTTCAAACTTACGGTGCAATAATGGCTCTTGCAGGTCTTTTTGTGGACTGTACTTGAGAAAGCCACCCTTCTAGTTGTGCATTCAGCTGGGGTCCTGTGAAGAGACCAGGAAATACTGAAGCCACAGAAGAATCTAATATATCTCAAGAATTAATAAATAAAGTTTAAAAGTCCAGTAGATTTAAAAGTCAGTTTAAACATTAAAGGCTGGGTTTAAATGTAAAAATAAACAACCAGAAAAAACAGCACCCCAAAAACCTCAGTGCAACAACAAAAAAACCCCCAACCCTGCAATGTTGGAGGTTAAGTAGTAAAATTTCAATCTCCTGTTCTAGGAAGTTCATTTGCTGCACATCCAAACACACACGTATTGTTTCTTGCTCTATGGGGACTAACAAACACACCATTTCACCACTAGAAAGGATGGCTGCTGATTTCAAAAGAGATGGTAACAGATGATTGACTCCTCTGATAACCACATTTGCAGAATTCAGAAGTAAAAGTTAAGATGACCTACACAAAGAGAGCCCGATACGGGAATATGACATAATACAAAGGCCTTACATATTGACATGATAGTCAATGGCTACAGTAATAAATTCTTTACTATTATCAAGCAAGTGTAAGAGTAGAATACAAAACACACTGTAACCTGGAAAATCTGTAAATACACAGGAAAAAGCTAAAAGTGAGAAGACACCACAGTTATACTAACGCCTTAACTTCTGATCAACCAACATATACTACAAGTACATGAACACCTTGGCAACATTAACTTTGATAATTGGTCAATCCAGTATTTAATCTTTTTAAAACTAAATTTAAAAATACCTCAGGAAGTGTCAAGTATTTTCAATTCAAGCATGACAGGTGATAAAAATGCCTTTAGAAATACAACAAAAAACCCCAAACAAACCACATTTTGATTATTTCCCATCACAAGAAAACTTTCTGATGTAAAGCTTGTCCTGAACAGGCAAGTCTCACAAATACAGTGCAACATTCATTATATTAAATAACACAAAACAAGCTTTCAAGTAAAACTCATGCAGCTACTATTGTTAGAAGTAAAATACCATTAACAAAGAGAAAATAGATGTACTTTTTTCAGCAGACACTATGCTTTTGACAAAATTACACGTCAGCAGAGTTTATCTGTAAAGTTTGGTGCAGTCAGACACTTTTCTTCTTCCATGCACATTGTAGATTTTTCTATCTTCCCCATGCAGGGGAACTACCAGCTTCCTGTTAAAGTCGAAAACAAATTAAGTATCCAGAACAGTTTCACAGATATGTTCCAAACAGTCCCAATCTCAAGCTGACAGCTCTCCAAAAGGCTGACAAGAACTACAGAGAGCCAGAGCAAAGATGTCAGCTTTTGCAGAATCCAGTCAGTCACTGACCAGGTATAGCCAAAAAGCCTTCCCTAGAAAACCCATGGGTGAAGGGTGGGGGTGTCAAAGCCACTGGTTTTTACACAAAACTTAAATCCATGTGCTTCCTGAAAAAGGACAACTTCTGTAGTTGTGAAGACTCCTATCTTGTTACATGAAGGTGAACTAATGCAAAACCACTTCCCTAAGCCTTCAATCCCTTGAATGCCTTAGTTACTGTCTAGAGCTCTAACAAGACAAAAGAGTGACACTGATTAGCCACTTGTCACTCCTGTAATACAGTGATTTTGTGAAATGATGACATTGTTACAAAAAGTCACACATCGACTTGGTTCTACTGCTTCTGTTGCTTGGGGAAATTACAGGCAGCAGAGACATACTACAGAGATAAGGATAATGACATCTTAGAAAATGGAGGCTGTTGTGGAAGCTCAGTAAAAATAAAACGATCTCTATTTCCATCCTCTTTCTAAGCTACTAGGAGACTAACAAAACAGTACTCTTTTACAGTATTACCACTTTTATGTTATATACTTAAGCGAAGACACAAATCACCTAAAAAATTTTACTTCCTCCTTCTCCCAAAATATGTAGAAGGGTAAGATACTTTCTGAATTAAGCTCTTTAGGAGGACACAGCTGATTTTGTTTTGTTTGTTTTTTTTTCCCCCCAAACACTTACTACCCAGACTTGAACAAAATATTACTCTGCACCACCTGACCCAATCTCCTCGAAGAAGAGGATCCACAGGCAGCACAACAGCAGAAGGGCCAAAACTTGCCAGGGTGACCCTCTTCCTGAACAGGGTAGTGTGCTTGGCCTTCCTCCATTCCTTCTTTAGCAAGGATTTTTGATTAAGGAGGTGGTTAAGGCGATTTGTCTTTGGTTGAGACAAATCAGGTAACCTGCTAAACAGTTTAAAGACAAAGGTCAGAATCTCTGGTAATATGCTGAAATTTCATGATTGGTCAAATCTGCCCAAAACTTCTGATCTTACAGTGTAGTAGTGGAGTAAGATGCCCAGGTTTGCTCAGACCGCTATTACAGGCACACACTCTAACAAAGTAACATTTTCTTCTTAGAGGCAGTAAAATAACAGATCTGTATGACTCACGGGATGAAACTTCTGTCAGTATTTGCTTAAGGACCAAGTAACAACATCTGCTCTCAGATTTTTTCCCTTTAATGCAACTACAAGGTGTCTTTAAATAATTAACTTCAACCTAATGTAAACTTCCAACTTATACTTATCTGTACTATTTTAATAAAATACGTAATCAAATCTCTCAGAGAGAGAGAATGAAGAGTACAAAAACCCATTTGACCTTTAAGCTAAAGGGGGGGTGGAAGAGGAAAATAATCAAACAGCACCCACATGAACTGACAGGAGTGTGGCCTCCCTGCAGGTTCCTATGCTTACAAATACTTTAAGGGGAATACTCTAGAACCGTAATTTTCTTGTTACTAAATTAGCATCAACTTTTTCTTGAAGCGCTCAGAGAAGTTTTTCTTCCACTTTCTCAAACATGAGCATGCTTAAGGCTAAAGTCAAAATATTTGAATTGGATATACAAAATATAAATAAACCCACACTATCACAGCAGTTATGCTCTGCCATATGGAATTGTATTATAGGAGATGAGTAGCTTCTTCACAAAGCGCTCTATAAGTAAATTTTTGTCATATTTAAATTAAGTTAAACTGGAAAAGTAGTATTTGCAAAGAATCATCAAGACAACTGCAGTAAATATCCATCTCCTAAGCTGACCAGCTTGGACAATGTATGGCATTGCCACCCACATATCCTCTTGCTGTGGTGGTGGGAAGTAGAAGAGGTCCCACCTCCTCGAGCCTCAGGTAGAAGGCCCAGCTTGAGAAAGCTGATAGGAGAGCAAGAGGGGGTTTAAGACTAACTCAGACAGGACAGAAAACCTTATGGATGCAATTTCTGGATGCAACAATCAATACACTTTAGCATTAATACTGTAAGATCAGACCTTTTATTGACAACAGGAAGATGAGGCAGCAAAATATGAGTTTTACTGAAGTACCTAACATTAAGATCTGCATTTCAATCCTGTGAAGTCAGGTATAAATACAGTCACGTAACTAAAGATTTCTGACACTATTTGTGGGTATTTCACATCCTGTTTTATTTTGAAAACCAGCAGAAATTATGCCAAATTTTACAGTAATTGCAAGCACATACCATGCCTCCACTAGGCAAAGATATGGATACAGCTACCGGCAGGATTTATTCAAGTATCTTGCCTAAAAGGGTAAATTATTTTTACAATCAGCATTATCCCATCACAAAGCTCTAGAGTAAGTAAGAAAGAATCCTTCCACGTTAAATGCCTGCCACTGTTACCCAGTGAATAACACAAAGACATGGTAGTGACATGGTTATGTTCATCACCAATTTATAGCTGTCATGGTCCAGGCTTTGTGGGTTAAGCCAAACAAGCACATTCTTTCCACAGCCAACCTCACCTTACCAGTGAGGTTGAAGTGCTTATATGCCAAGACAACATAATGGGAATTTGCTCCTTTTCCAGTAGCCACCATTACGTGTACAAAACATACATTTTAAGACTGGTAGGAAGACTCTGTTTATTCTGAATCCTCAGTCTCAGTGAACACTGTTCTTACTGAAAGAGGATAAGCCTCAAGTGAAATTCAGAGCAGCACCAGGGAAAACTGCTCAGGTCTCCCTTGGCTGCACGTGTACAGCACTTGCATCAATCCAAGTAATGCTGGAGCACAATGCCAGTAATGCTGCAGTCCCCAGCCTTCACAGTTATACTTGACAGCTTTTACATTTCTCCTCCCCTACAGGAGCAAACACCTTTTGCTGAGTCTTCCTCAGCAAAATCTTTTAACTACCTTTATCAATTGATGAGAGAGTCTGCACCTCACGAATGCTTCTAATAAATATTGCAGCATATGTGCTAAGAAGTAAGTCTTTATTCTTGTAGAGTGTTTGAAAAATCAAAGTAACAATGAAACTCCGGGGGCTGGCATGCAGTTAGTTTAATAACCGGAACAAAGGGAATTCTTCTCTCCACAGTTTTGAAGGGGAATCCAAAATTCAGTTGTTAGGTAAAATCCAATATGAAACATGATAGAGGACTAACTAGTTTCTCAGTTAAAAATGCAGAAAGTATAAGGATTTTTTTCAAGAACACAAACCTCACTTGCAAAAAAAAAAAAAAAAAAAATCTGTTTCTTAACACAACAAAAGCCAAATCCTTGAATAAGAAAAACATGTTTTAGCTATGCAAAGACTAGGATTTGTCAGGAATAGAATGTGATTTCCAACAACTCATGCTGATGGGCACATTCTCTACTGCTAGCATATACTCTCTTGCAGTATTGATAAAATTAGAAATCAGACTACAAGCAAGTCAGAAATTTACCTAGGTAAACTAGGACCAGGGGAAAAAAATTAAGATACAAATACAGATTACACTGATGCTACATAAATTCCTATTTATATACACTGTCAGATGGAAATAAAAACACCAGGTAATGCTTGATTGAATGGGGGGAAAAAAACCCCTGAAGCTACAACAAAGACATTGAAACAGACATCAGAATCTGCTTTGGTGACAGTTCTTACTTGCATGTCCCAGTTTTCCAATATTCCACTAGCTTTGAATTTCCTTTCCTGAAAGTTAATAGGAAATTAAAAGATCAA